CTCGGGAGTGGCGCTGCTCCCCTCCCCCACCCCAGAGCAAACTCACCTCCCGCCTCCAGCTCCTCTCCTCCCCTTCATTAAAGTTTTATTCCCGGCCCTAAGTGCTGCACTTTAATTAGGTTTCCTTCAGGGGAAACTCCTGTGCCTCGCCCCCCCGTGCTATCTAATAGAAACCCCAGAGCCACAATCGCGAATTAAATAGATGAACTCGTTACATAAACTCGGAATAAAGAGCAGAGGCGACTGCTGCGGAGGGGGGCGAGAAGAGGAGGTTTCGTGATTTTTGAAAGAAATTTATACCATATTCTCACCCAACTGAGCAATCAGTCTCCGAGAAAGAGAGGAGAAGCACTGGAGCGGCCTTGGGCCTCTGCCCAGGAGCGGGACAGCCTCTCCCCCAGGCTGTGGTCTGGACCTGGAGGGAGATTTCACACATCCAGCGGGGAAGCGATACCGGCCTTTCTCCCTCCCCGTTACCAGTCAGTTCTGCATAGAGAGGGGGTGTGCGGAAGAGGGGAACGGAGTCTCCGGTAGGAGGAGATGAGAAGGAAAGAATTACGTTATTACCCTCTTCCCTCCCCTAAATTGCCCCCCAAGTGGGAGGGGGACAGGGGGCAGCAAAAGGGTTCAATCACCCGCAGAATAATGGGGAGGGCAAGGCAGCAGATGCTGGCGCCCAGCCTGGGGGACTTTGCCATTGAACTTGAAGTTGCAGGCTGTTGGTCTCCACCACCCCGCCCCCACCCTCCTAAACGCTTTATGGGGAGAGGGAGGAAGGTGAAGGGAAGAGGGGACATCTGTGGCCTTGGAAAGAAGGGAGGAGGCCCGACGGCGGGGGAAGGGTCAGAGAAACCGGGAGACCCGCTGGGGACGCGGAGGTTGGCGGGGAGGAGAGGAGGCCTGGGGCTACGCAGAGGAGACATTCCAGCCTTCGCCTCCGACTTGCAGCTTCTAGGTGAGGAGCCCCTGGCCGTGCGCCGTCTCCTTGAGCCCCGCCCCAGAATCTGCAGGGAGGAGCAGCCGGTGCTGCGCTCCTGTTCGTCTCTCAGCCTAGGTGCGTGAGCCGAGCCCCGCGCCACCGGGAGGCTGGAACCTGCCGCAGACGCCTGCCACGCTCAGGGCCCAGAGCAAGCTGGATTTCTGTCCCGGCCTTTACAGAAAGAAAAGGAGTGTTATGCGCCTATTTTTCAGACCAAGATCCGGCCCATTTTACTACCTCCAAGAGTGCATTTCTTTCTAATAAGGTAAATTAGCTGTTCCATGGGCCAAGGGTGTTATCGACTTCTCAGTCTGGGATCTGCTTCCGAAGGCCCCGGAGGTGGTTCTCCCAGGAATTTGAGGTCCTGGCGGGCAAGGGCAGGAATGGCAGCAGGCTCTCAGAGACTACCTAGCGGAGGCTCTTCTCCGCTGGTTCCTGGAGATACTGGCAGCTGCCTGGGCAGAAAGTGACAAAGAAAATGTTTCTCAGCACACTGGACTGGCTCGACCTGGGAGCGGGGAGAGGCTTGTCGGTGGGAGCTAGTGCCAGCCGTTAGACACGCCACCCCCATATGACCTTATGTTTGTCTCCGACTGGATAGAGTCCTGGCACAGATAACATTAAATTATTAATGTTATTATTCTTATTTAAAACTACAACAATATTTTACGAAGCACCTACTTTGAAAACTGGGGGAAAGTTAACTGTGACAACAATGGTGACTTACTAACTCACCCTTAAGGGAAAGGTGCTGGCCCTTAAAACAACAAATCAATACACTGTATTCTCTGGCCCTTGCCTTGCTCCCCCATTCCCGTGCCCTCTCAGAAACCTTCCTGGGCTTGGGCTTGGAGACTGCCGAGATCAGAAGAGCAACTGGGGGGGGGTGTCCACTGCAGGCGTGTGTGTGCACCGAGGCTCTGAGCCCAGCACAGAAGCAGTCTGGGGCCACATGCCCAGGTGCTTTGCCACTGATACTGCTAACTCCTTGATCTTGGAGTGGGCGACGTAATCTTCAGACACACTCAGGACTCACCTAACTCTTAGTTATTGGTGTCACACTGAGCAATCAGTCTCCGAGAAAGAGAGGAGAAGCACAGGAGCGGCCTTGGGCCTCTGCCCAGGAGCGGGACAGCCTCTCCCCCAGGCTGTGGTCTGGACCTGGAGGGAGATTTCACACATCCAGCGGGGAAGCGATACCGGCCTTTCTCCCTCCCCGTTACCAGTCAGTTCTGCATAGAGAGGGGGTGTGCGGAAGAGGGGAACGGAGTCTCCGGTAGGAGGAGATGAGAAGGAAAGAATTACGTTATTACCCTCTTCCCTCAACCTCTGGCATTGTGAGGTGGGGAGACACCTTCTCAAATGACTATGATTGGGACAAATGGGGAACAGGGAGTGAGAAAGACACACACACACACACCCCTATGGCATCTGGGGAGGTTTCCCAGGAGAGGCTGTGTTGGGGAAGGACCTCGAAAGATGCTCGGAATATCAAATCTGGAAGGAAGATGTAAGCAAAACTCGGGGGAAGAGGCAGGAAAACGCAGGCTGCATGGGAGAAAGGTGTGGACCCCAGCTCTGGTGAGACAGAGCTGGCCGGTAAGACAGCAAGGGCATCTCACGGTGTCCTGGATGCCAGGGTGAAGCCTGGGCACGATCAGACATCTTCTCGCCTATTCGGTCTCTGGTCGCCCTACCCCCACCCAAGCGGGCAGGCACCCGCACCAGGGGCTGCACTCCACAGGCCCCAGGCGGGAGGCAGAGAGTCAGCTTTCGGACAGCGGGGTCCGTACCCATCCCGTGGACCCTCAGCTCCCCGATCCTAGGGAGGCCCAGCCTGTCGTCCCTGCCCGAGACCTGCGCCCAGCCTTTGTCTGGTTGATGGTTGAACTTCGCCGCCCCTCCCCCTCCAGGCAGGGTTTTGTCATTGAACTTGAGTCAGGCTATAAACATTCCTTCACCCCTCCGGGAGCCGGACGGGGACGCGGAGAGGGTGGAGGAGAAGGGGACGGCGGGGGCTGCGGAAGGACCTGGAACGCTAGAGGCCGGGCCCTACCAACCAAGCCTGCGTTTCTTTATCAAAGAGCTTCTGATCCTTGCCTTCCGGAGAAAACGCGCCGGGTCTGCATTTAAACACCCGATTATTGAGGCCACAGGGCAAGTTAGACTAATATTTTAGGATCAACACAATGTAACCTTTTCGTTTTCATTCATTTGTAATTCATGTCAGCTTTCCTTGTTTTAGGCAGCAAATCTGTTAATTTCGTTTCATAGTCAGGATAAACAAATGCACAGATAACAAACGAATACTAGCTAAGGCCGATGAATTATTCGAGAACGTTCGAGCAGGTCATCCCGAGGCCGTGGCCGCCCCGTGTGTCGAAAGCGCTCGTCCCGCGCCGGGGTGATTCCGTGAGACGCCGCCGGCCGCGAGGGTCCCCAGCTGTACCCGGAGCAGCTGCCGAGCCCCGCGGGGCCACCGGTCTACTTCCCGGGATCCGGACACTTAGACTTCGCACATGGGGGGTCTCCCGCGCTCCACGGCGGAGGCGACACTGGCCTGGGAACCGCCTGCCCGGGGACGCTGGCACGTCTTTGCCTGCGACCGGCCGATTCCGGAGGCCGCGGAGAGCGGCCTGCTGAGACGGTATTAGTGGGTTTTTTCTTTTTGTTTTTTAAGAATTCAGGGTTCTGGAGCAAAGGAGAATCAAAGCCCCGATCCCGGGGTCTTTTCCTGGCTCAGTAACATCCAGTAGAAGGGGAACCGGGCGCCCCGGGAGGGCGAGGGGACTGGGGGGCTGGTCTGTGTCCTGCGCGCCCGGCTCCGCGCTGGGGCCGCTTCCAGCAGCAGCCCCGGCCCAGCCACCCCGGCACCCAGCACCGAGCTCCCGGCCTCCTTACTCGGGGCCAGAGAAAAATGCAGTGAGGCAGGTCCTCAGTGCAAATCGAAAGAGGTCTGAGGGCGTTATTCGGGTGATGCTTCCCGTGTCCCCCTCTCGGCTTTTACCTGCCACAGGTCTTCCTCGGACCAAAGGGGTTTGCTGTCTTCTCCTCTTCCCCAACTTTAGATTCCCAGGCCTTGCTGCCCTGGAAAGAATCCAAACAACCCCTCTCCCTTTGTCTGACCTTTGGGGAAAAGAGGCATGGGCGCCTGGGTCAAGTTCACGGGCCTGTCCTGCATATTTTAGGGCAAGTGGGGGTTACTGTACTCATCGGGACGAAGAAGGTCCTAAGCAATCGGGACATTGTTGGGGAAACAGAGAAGCTGCGAGAAGGGCTTTTCGGTTTTAATCTGTTCCATTCTCATATCCCCTCCCCCCTCCCCCCAGCTTTGTGCAGGAGAAAGAATTCGATCCGAAAGGAAGCCGTTTATTTGGAAAAATGAACGCGATGGTCTTATGGAATGAGCTTCCCAGAAATGGTTTTAAGTCTTTGGCACTTGGGTATTTTCTGTTAGTTCAGTGCTGGCAGTTTATGAAAGTTAAGGATTTACAGTATTCGGTACACTGGTTTCTGCGGAATGTGAGTCAGAACAAAAGAAACCACATCTGCACCGCTCCCCCAAAAGCCTCAGACAGCATACATATTTCAATTATTTCAAAATCCTCCCCAAATTCTTGCCCCTAAAACAAAACTAAAAAACCCCCCAAAATCAAATTGAAAAACCTACCCAGATCGCAGAAAATAGAATATGTGACTTAAAACACACACACACTTTAAAAATTCTTTATAAACAACCCCTTAAAATTTTTTTCATTCTTTTTAAAAATGCTAGTGTTTTACAATTTGCAACCAGTTATTATTTTTGTGTTTCTCTTCCTCCCCAACACAGTTATTTACATGCTAATTCGGTTTTAAAGCAGTATACATGTACTATGTCATAAGCAATTTCCCGAGTTATCACAGTTTCTAAATGCCATTTTAAAACTTCATTGCGTGAAATGAAACGAATTTTCATAATTTAGAAAACCATTTCCCTAATGTTAGTCATTTAGGTCGTCCCCACGTTGAAAAATAAAAGTTTTTTTTTTCTGATTAGAAAAGTAACACATTCTGATTAAGAATTTCAAAAATATTTTTAAAAGAAGAAAATAAAACCCGCCACATATCCTACCACTCAAAGTTTGCCAAAGCTAATATTTTGTTGTATTTTCTTCAGCTATTTTTCATTGCACATGTGTATAATTTCAAAATTGAGATTCTTCATGTACATTTTTCATATTTTGCCTTTTAATTTAATATTAAATTATAGACATTTCTCAGTGTCATTAAATATCCTTCAAAAGCATGCTTTTAATGGTTGCACAGTAGCTAATCCTCCAGATGGACCATCAAAAAGCATTTCTTTAATTCTTGGTCATTTAAATTGTTTCCACATTTACTTTTTAAAATAATTGATAAGAGAGAAATTGTTATACCCTTAGGATGTTTGGTAGAGAGATGAGAGTTGAATCCTCCTGGAATAAAATGCTTCACAATTTTTAGGTTAAAAATGCCCGCTTCTCAATATTTATTGGGAGAGAACAAAGGAGGGCTTTTTAAGGGTGCTCAAAATGTCCCATGTTTTGATCGAGGTGGTGGTTACATGCATGTATACACGTGTAAAATTTTATTAAGCTGAACATTTAAGGTTTGTGCACTTTACTTTAAAAATTTTAACACTGTGCTCCCACCCCAAAGCCTGTATCTGTTTACACAGAAAAAAAGCAAAGCAGGAAATAGGTGGAGGAAGTGAAAAGGGAGTGGGGCCAACCCAAACTGGATCGGTGCGCCCCTTGCTAGGATATTATTACCTTTGGTTCGTAGACACCAAAACATTTACCAAAAGTAAATATTTGACAGTTAGTGATGAGTGGGGCCAACCCAAACTGGATCGGTGCGCCCCTTGCTAGGATATTATTACCTTTGGTTCATAGACACCAAAACATTTACCAAAAGTAAATATTTGACAGTTAGTGATGGGGGGGGGAAAAAGAACTTGACCCTCCTTCCCCACCCCAATGCTAACCCTTGTTAGGCAGAGAGAGTTTTTCTGTTATGGTTGTACTCCTATGGCTTTGAATTTCCCTAGTGAGCAGAACAGGAATAAAAATAGAGTAGAAGAGTTTTAAAAGAGAGTTAAAATTAATGGAAAACTAGCTGACTCATCTAACATTGTCATGTGAAATAGAAGTGGGGTAATTTATGCATAATTTAAAAATAAAACTTTTTCAAAAAATAGATTCATTTTGGGTCTATTTTGTAATCCACTTTCACTTAAAAAGATAAAAAGTAGGCACAGCTTGGAGGTTGCAGGGGCAACTGCTTTCCCAGATGATGACTAGGACCCAGAGGGAATGGAGTGGAGTCTGGTGTCTGAGTCTAGTTTTATTGGCACCGTCTCGTGAGGTCAGTGTGCTGGCTGGAGCATTTGCTTAATCCTTGAGATTCCGAGGAGAGGAAAAAATACCCTTCACACTATTGGGCACCAGAGTTACTTCCTGCTTGTGCTTCAGACAGGAGACTGCTGCAACCACTTCACACATTCATATTTAGTGGTGATTTCTTATTTTTTATTGTCACTTCATTCATTTTTCAGTTAGAATTAGGATAAAGGTGGACTTTTAATATCTTATGAAGAAAGATATGAGACATCTTTCCATGTCAAAACAAAAAATATATTATGGGTATTTTATAAAAAAGCCTTCCCCCCCCTTTTTGAGGTGTAGCATATTCAGTAAAGCACATTGATCTTAAATATATGGCTTGATGGACATTTACCCATGTAACCCCCATTCAGAACAAGATATAGAATATTTCCTCCACTTCTGTAGATTCCCTCCTGCCCCTTTCCAGTATAATATTCCAGGGGTAATTGCCATTCTGATTTCTATGGACATTAAATTGTTTTGCCTGTTCTTGAATTTCATATAAATAGAATTATGCAGTGTGTACTCTTTTGGGTCTGGTTTCTTCCATGCAGCAAAATGTCTTAGATTCACCCTCGTTGTTGTGTGTATTAGTAGTTTACTCTTTTAAGATGTTCTCTGCTATTCCATTGTATGGGCACACCACAATTAGTTTATCCATTCATCTGTTGATAGGCATTTGAGTTGTTTCCATTTTTGGCTATTATGAATAAAGCTACTATTATTGAAAAACCTGTTCTTTTGGTGAACAAATTGACTTATCTCCTATAGAATTTCTGGATTATAGGGTAGGTATAAGTTTAACTTTACTACCTATGTGGTATTTTTAAAAATCAAATTATTCATATACCAGTCTCAAATCCCCACAACAACTGGTACAAGTGGTCAGATTTAAAAAAAAGAAAAATCAAACAGATTAAAGAAGGTGAATACATGTGCTTGACTTTCTATAATGAGATTATTTTATTTCTTTCTTTATTTTAATTTTAATTTATCAATATACAATGTAGTTGATTTTCATATCCCTTAACCAATTCCTCTTTCCTCCCTCCCTCTCCCCCCATCAACATCATATCTGTTCACTTGTCATAACAAATTATGAGCTTATTTTGAAGTCTTAATGACCTGAATCCTTGGGACAGTGGAGATTTGAGTTTGCTGATAGTAGAGCATCAGGACTCAAGGCCCCGCTCCTCCCTGCAGCCTCCTTCCACTGACTCAGTTCTGGGGCACAGTCACACCTGCAAGTTATGCACATATGGATCTTACCAAACTCCCCCAAATGCAAATGCAATGAGCTAGGGCAAAGAAGAACTGTGACTGAGGTCAATGATCAGGGTCAGCAGGGACGAGGGGCCCAAGTGTTAGTGCCAGAAGGTGGAAGTGAGT